AGTGTATAACTATCAATAAAAGTAAGTGTATAACTATCAATAAAAGTAAGTGTATAACTATCAATAAAAGTAAGTGTATAACTATTAATAAAAGTAAGTGTATAACTATCAATAAAAGTAAGTGTATAACTATCAATATAAGTAAGTGTAGAACTATCAATACGAGTAATTGTATAACTATCAATATAAGTAAGTGTATACCTTTCAATATGAGTAATTGTATATCTATCAGTATAAGTAAGTGCACAACTATCAGTATAAGTAAGTGTAAAACTATCAATAAAAGTAATTGTATAACTATCAGTATAAGTAAGTGTCTAACTATCAATATAAGTAAGTGTATAACTATCAATATAAGTAAGTGTAGAACTATCAATACGAGTAATTGTATAACTATCAATATAAGTAAGTGTAAAACTATCAATATAAGTAATTGTATAACTATCAATATAAGTAAGTGTGTACCTTTCAATATGAGTAATTGTATATATATCAGTATAAGTAAGTGCACAACCATCAGTATAAGTAAGTGCATAACTATCAATATAAGTAAGTGTATAACTATCAATATAAGTAAGTGTCTGACTATCTAACTATTAAACTGGTTTGACCATCTACTTTCACTGGTTTCCCTTCTCCAAACATGTTTTAAAAGAAACTAAAATCGAATTTGATTAGTTTAAAAATTCTTCACACAAATCCGAATCTATAAAAACAACCATTTTTTCTAAAACTCAGAACAATCCATTTTACTTTTTTTTTGATATTTTAAAAACCTTTATGGAGAGAGTATAGTAAAGGCCCTTACATCCTTTTTTTTGACAAGACATGTTTTAGAAATTACGTAGGGTTAAAATTATTTAGTGACATTAAATGAAATCTGTTTAAAGTTCATTCAATATATGGATCTATTCATTTTCAGATATCCACCTTTCAGGTTTTACTTTCCATGTTGGATTGTACATCTTGTACATCTTGTACATCAATGTACATCTATGCACATTGTTTCCCAGAAATCCACGGAAAATTATGGAGAATCTTCGAAAAATGCAAGAAATAGCCACAATGCATGGTCTGCACACACTTGGCGCTCAAATTCTCTGAAATGTGCAAATACTGTGGAGGGGGGGGGGGGGGAAAGAAACCAAACAGCTCGATATAAAATGGAGTACCGTCTGCAAAGCATGTATAATCATATGGTAGGGCGAACCGCGTCAGTTGTCTCTCCCTTCTATTCCTTACTCCCTGGTTGGAGGTGGGGAGGGGGGGGGTGAGATTGTAAATTCCAGTTCAATTGAATTACAAGACTGACTAAGGAAGCTAGAACAAGCTGTACAATACATACAGGGCTAACACGGAGTTTTTTTTTTGTTTTTTTTTTGGAGGGGTAAGAGGGATATGCATATCATACAGGATTCCATATTGAGTTAGAATAAACAGGGCAAGGTTGAATAAATATTGAATTGAAAACACAATGAATGAATAATTTTGTTGGTCATGGATATGAATACCATTGAGTCAAGATCAGCTGACCCCCCCCCTTCCCTCCCCTTTCCTCTTAAGATGTTCATGACCCTGAGGGAATATAAAGGCATAATTGGAATTTCCTGGAATCCCCCTTTAGGTTTATATATGTCGGTTACTAGGTTTGAATAAAGGGAATCCTTGTTTTAAAATTGTAAAAGTTATTTTGGAATTATTTATCCCAAAAGGTCAACCTGGGTATTTTGGGTATTTTCCACACTTGCTCTTAGTTTTGAAGATATAGTACACATTACTAGCTTGAGAAGCCAGCGTAACAGCGATGCTCAGGGTACTCATAGTTACTAACTCCGTTTACCCGCGCTTGGTCTTAAATTACGATTTTAGCTATTTTTCCCTATAAAAGTGGACCAACTCAAGTTCTCTAAATCGAACTAAGAACATTACCTTGGTTCCCAATCAAAATTTGAGGCAAATCGGTCAAGGGGTTCATGAATTATGATTAGACATACAAACAAACAGAGATTACAACTTTATATATATAGATATATGTTTACAATGCACATGTGATAAAGGTAGTGGTGAAACTATGTGATAAAGGTAGTGGTGAAACTATGTGATAAAGGTAGTGGTGAAACTATGTGATAAAGGTAGTGGTGAAACTATGTGATAAAGGTATAGTGGTGAAACGAAACTATGTGATAAAGGTAGTGGTGAAACTATGGGATAAAGGTAGTGGTGAAACTATGTGATAAAGGTAGTGGTGAAACTATGTGATAAAGGTAGTGGTGAAACTATGGGACAATTTTTGATAAATAAAAGATAAATCTTGGACCAGCCTTAAAGTTATTACAATTGAAAAAATTTGATGTTTTTCAAAGTTTTAAACTCATTCAGATTTATTCTTTTTGCAAGCGAAAACAAATTGTTGCCGGTGTAATAACTTCTTGCTGATGGAAGAAAGATTAGACATTTTTGATCACTTTTAGGAAAAACATCCACGGCCACAAAGGATGAGATTTCAGAGACAAAATTACGAAATTACGAAACTACGAAATTACGAAATTACGAAATTACGAAATTCCGAAACTACGAAATTACGAAATTACGAAATTACGAAACTACGAAATTCCAAAATTACGAAATTACTAAATTTTCCAATATCTTTGATTCCCCTCGTAACTGTTTCCTTCGTTACCAAATCATTAAACAATAAATAAGACTATATTCATGATTTAGTTTAACCTCAGAATCATCACATTTAAAGAGTTTCATATCGTCTTTTCAGTCTCATCCTTTGTGGTTAACCCTGTACGTATATACCGGTGTTTACGATAAACTCTCAGGTGTCGAAAATTGTGGCAAAAATAAAGATTAATTCTTTGCCACAAATTTAGCAAATTAACCAGGATTTTAAAGTAAAATGGAAAAATGCAAAAATTTCTCTCACATTAGTTGGATTTTATTTTAATTTGCACTCAACAGTCATCGGTCATCAATTCAATAATTTGTTAGTCATGCATTTAATGCATTTAATGATCATTCATTGATCATTCATTGATCGATATAATATTATCATTCATTGATTATTCATCGATCATTCATTGATCATTCATTGATCATACATTGTTCACTCATTGATCATACATTTATCATCCTTTGATCATTCATTGATCATTTATTGATCATTCATTGATCATTCATTGATCATTCATTGATCATTCATTGATCATTCATTGAGCATACATTTATCATTCATTGATTATTCACTGATCATTAATTGATCATTCATTGATCATTCATTGAGCCAAAATTTATCATTCATTGATCATTCATTGATCATCATTGAGCATACATTTATCAGTCATGGATCATTCATGGCTCTTTCATTGACCATACATTTATCATTCATTGATCATTCTTGGCCCTTTCATTGAGCATACATTTAGCATTCATTTGATCATTCATTAGGCGTACATTTAGCATTCATTGATCATTCATTGAGCCTAAATTTATAATTCATTGATCATTCATTGATCATTCATTAAGCATACATTTAGCATGCACTGATCATTGATTATTCATTGATCATACATTTAACCTTAGTTCGTTCATAATTTAATTGTATGTTCAAATTAAATGAATATTGTAAATTTTTGGTTTAATGCAAATAATATTTAGCGGAGCGAAGCTTTGACATTTCCATATTTCCATGACAACGATTTGGAAATTAATCTTCAACCTTTTATATAAAGATCATCAGAACATTTTCTTATGATTTAAATGTTAATTAATACTTTTATAAAAACATGGAATTCCCATTTTATTGTATATATATCATCTTTCTATTCCACAATTTTATAAACTTCACTGTTCAATAGACCGCTCATTTTAAAATTGAAACCCCCAAAAAAGCTTTAGCCTTCCTCTCCACCTTTCAATATCCTTCCCCCTTTTAATTCAGGTCATGTTTAACACGCTGGTCATATATACGCACGCGCGTAATTTATGGCGCGGGGAAAAGGTGTCTGCGTGCGTAAAATGCTTGGCTCATCCTTTTATACTCCACGCAGCTTTTGTGAATTATCTGATTGCACAAATGGTCATTTGAACCTTCACATCAAGATTTAGACCCATAAATATTGAGAAGGGAAAACAGATTTTCTATATATCTATATATCCAATAAACGCCAAAACGGCTGAACCGACCGGGCCCATATTCCCTGGAAAAATGTCGACATTTACGATCATTGAAAATCTACCAATTTAAACAAAAACATCCGCAAAGTTTTTGGTTATTGAAGAACTTGAAAAAATGGCGGCTTAAAAATCGACAAAACTAGATGTACTATATTGCTCTGTATTCTAGATGTACTGTATTCTATATATATAAACTGTAGTGCTACTCTGTTTTCTAGATGTATTGTATTCTATATAAATAAACTGTAGTGCTACTCTGTTTTCTAGATGTACTGTATTCTATATAAATAAACTGTAGTGCTACTCTGTTTTCTAGATTCTGTAAACTGTATTGCTACTCTGTATTCTAGATGACTGTATTGCTACTCTGTATTCTATATAAATAAACTGTAGTGCTACTCTGTTTTCTAGATGTACTGTATTCTATATAAATAAACTGTAGTGCTACTCTGTTTTCTAGATATACTGTATTCTTTATAAATAAACTGTAGTGCTACTCTGTTTTCTAGATGTACTGTATTCTTTATAAATAAACTGTAGTGCTACTCTGTTTTCTAGATTTCTGTAAACTGTATTGCTCTGTATTCTAGATGTACTGTATTCTATATAAATAAACTGTAGTGCTACTCTGTTTTCTAGAATTCTGTAAACTGTATTGCTACTCTGTATTCTAGATGACTGTATTGCTACTCTGTATTCTAGATGTACTGTATTGTTACTCTGTATTCTAGATGTACTGTATTGTTACTCTGTACTCTAGATGTACTGTATTGTTACTGTGTACTCAAGATGTACTGTATTGTAAATATGTACTCTAGATGTACTGTATTGTTACTCTGTACTCTGGTTGTACTATCTGACTGTGCCCCTCGAGTTCCATTTTACTGTCCAAGACTGAACATTGACTGCAACCTTAGGAAAGCTGGAAAACCTACATTTTTAAATAGATAAAACAATTCTTAAACATTTTTAAAGGGACTAATAGCGTAATTTCAAGTGACCCTCCATACAAAGAGAGCATTTCCCGTTTTACAACGGTACCCTTAAAACCTTTGTTTGTTCGTTGAGTACAGAGATATGTGTGTAATCTTATCGAAACCCGCTTGTATTAAACTGCAATTTCAAGCTTGGTCACTTGAAAATACACTTAAAGTTCTTTTAGAGACAAGGTTAGATTTTAAGCTTTTTATCAGTGCTGCTCATATTTGCTGTAAAGATTTCGTTCCCACGGTAAATTATTATTATTATTATTATTATTGTTTTTATTATTATTTAGTATCTTTATAATAAAATTAACAAGACATTCATATATATGTTGCCTATAGCTAGCCAAACGGATGGATCGTATGGGCTGAAATTTTTTGTGGACACTCATGGGTGGCCGGGGGGTGTTATAGGCTAAAAAAATTAGGAAATTTAATTTTTCGAATTTTTTTTTCAAAAATTGCCATGGGCAATGCCGGGCCCTTCAGCTTGTAATTATTATTATTATTTTTAGCATTATTATTATTAACATCATCATTATTATTAATATTATTGTAAATATAATCATCATTATTTCATATTATTATCATCATTTTGTATTTAGACTACTGAGGGTACAGTGGATACAGTTGCTGTAAATGATACAGAGCCCAGTCTAATTTCTGATACTAACAATTCTGAAAATACCGATACAGATGAAGACACAGAAACAACTGAGAATACAGTAGAACTAGATACAGTGGAATCTGATACAGTGGAAGCTGATGCAGTTAACTCTGATACATTAGAATCTGATACAGCAGAACAAGATGAAGATCAGATTAAAGATACAGATGATGAAACTCAAGGTGTGTTTTATCATCGTGTGGAAAAAGTCTTTGCAACCTGATTTCGTAGATATTTCCAACTAAGTATGGATATTGCTAGTAAATATCAATGGTTTACATTATCAGGTTGCAAAGATGTAAGGATTAGAAAGTTAGAGTTTAAGGCGAGTTTTAATTAGGGTTTCCACGAAATGGCTAAATCTTTTGCGCAAAATAATTTTTTTTTTGCGAACTTTTGCGCTATTTTTGCGCGGTTTTGCTCTATTTTTGCGCATGAAACGCAATGAGTTTTGCGCGCTATTTTTTTGGCGCAATTTGCGCAAAACCGGAAATATTTTTTGCGAAAGTTACTCATGAAACGAAATTTTAGTTTTGCGCAATTTTTTGGCGCAATTTGCTTAGAACTGAAAGTTTTACGCAAAATGTAACTTTTTAGGCAAATTGTCAAAAATTGATATTCTTAGCTTAGAATTAAAAAACTGAAGATTTATTCCATACATAAAAAATATATTAACATACGAGTATGATAACGATTTGCACTCAATTGGTTACTTCCAGTTACAAAAAGTTTAAATTAAGGGAACAAAATTAATAAAATAGAAATCAAGTATGAACTATATTCTTAAATTTTTTAATCAAATTTCTGAAATCTTTTTTATCTAATATAAAAAAATGCAAGAAAGTAACCAATGCCTGAAGAATCCACTTTTAGTAAGTATGCATGTTCAAAACTAAAATTGTCGAGAAAATTGTGAGATTTGAACTCTTCTTAACTGTCATTGGTCAATTATGTAAAAGTGACCAATAGGAAGACATTCCAAAACAAGATTTTTCCAGAATTGAATTCTAAGAAACACACACCGTCACCAACCGTTAGATTTTTACGAAATTGCGGAATTGCACAAAACTATAGTTGCGGAATTGCGCAAAACTTGAGTTTCGCAAAAGCGGAATAGGGCAATTTTGCGCGAAATGACTTTAGCGAATGATTGCGCAAATTGTTGTTTTTTCGCGCAAAACTGATGCGCAAAGAAAGAAAAATTTTGCGTTTCGTTCCGCAAAAGTTTTGCGAATGGAAACCCTAGTTTTAATTCTTTTATCTATTAAAGTTGTTTCTTCTTGAAAGGAATTGTGCAGATACTAAAGAGATTGTGTAGATACTAAAGAGATTGTGAAGATACTAAAGGGATTGTGAAGATACTAAAGGGATTGTGCCGATACTAAAAGGATTGTGTAGATACTAAAGGGATTGTGCAGATACTAAAGAGATTGTGTAGATACTAAAGGAATTGTGTAGATAATAAAGGGATTGTGTAGATACTAAAGGGATTGTGTAGATACTAAAGGGATTGTGTAGATACTAAAGGGATTGTGTAGATACTAAAGAGATTGTGTAGATTTTAAAAGGATTGTGCAGATACTAAAGGGATTGTGTAGATACTAAAGGGGTTGTGTAGATACTAAAGGGATTGTGTAGATACTAAAGGGATTGTGTAGATACTAAAGGGATTGTGTAGATAATAAAGGGATTGTGTTGTGTAGATACTAAAGGGATTGTGTAGATACTAAAGGGATTGTGTAGATACTAAAGGGATTGTGTAGATACTAAAGGGATTGTTTAGATGAGGTGCTTGAAGGAGCAGACTCTGAAATAAACGAAGTTACAGTTCACCCAGATCCGCAGGTATGGTTTACAACAGTTTTAACCAGAGTTCTGGAAACATCGAAATAATTTATAAAGTGTTGTCTTGACAATTCTTCAAAGGTGAATACATTTTATATAAAAAACTAAAATAACTGAAACTTTATTAGCTTATTTCTGTTTATGTAACTACCATCATTAACACCCTGTATTTTAATTTTTCTCTACATAAAAATCCCTCTGATTTCACCCTGCCACAGATCACCTGACAATCTCCTTCCTTCCAATCAACTCCTTACCTATCCAAATTATATCTTGATATGTGTAACCAATTATATTCAAAATCGTTAATTAACTTCGGGCAAACCACTCAAAACACCAACCCTGGTTAGGCGGGTCGCATTGTAAATTGTGATTGCTTATTTGTAATATATCATGCTTTGTAGTTGAATAAAAATATGAATATGAGGTTTTTATTCTATTATACCTAAATCTCAGTATATGTAAAAATAAATAAATAGCCATAAAAAATGCTGGAACACTTTTAAAGAGGTCCATAAAATTATTCAATTAAAAACTAAATACGATTGCAGTATTCCATCAGTAGGTTTAAAAACAACATTTTATAGATTCTTTTAATATCAGCAAGTTCTGGGTTTTAAACTGTATTTAAAGCTTATTCTTCTTTTTTTTCGGCATATTTTTGCATAAATATAAAGAAGTTTGGAGACAAAATGAACAAACGGGATATTTTTCCTGAAAAATGTGATATTTAAAAAAAATTTACTTGAACAGATTTTTATTTTTGAAAAATACTTTAATTTTACCCATTTTCTGCTGATCTTTAATATTTTCTGGCAGGTTGGTGAAACCACACCTGCTGGTCCAGTACAGTATGCTCCCAAATTCTGCAGAGTTTTGAAGTTTAATATTTTATGGCAGGTTGGTGAAACCACACCTGCTGGTCCAGTACAGTATGCTCCCAAATTCTGCAGAGTTTTGAAGTTTAATATTTTATGGCAGGTTGGTGAAACCACACCTGCTGGTCCAGTACAGTATGCTCCCAAATTCTGCAGAGTTTTGATCTTTAATATTTTATGGCAGGTTGGTGAAACCACATCTGCTGGTCCAGTACAGTATGCTCCCAAATTCTGCAGAGTTTTGAAGTTTAATTGCGAAACCAGATCACAGGTAAAATTTGTTATACAGATTGCTATTTTTGTTTTTCAAAATTTCACCAATTCTTAAATTTGTGAAACTAGTGATTCAAGCGTTGCAAGTTTTCACGCAAAAATCGATATAAATTTTGCTAATTTCTTCTGAAAAATTAAAGCTAAAGACAAGTTCTTTACATCCTAATGTACAATGTACATGCCTAGGGGTATACCAAAGTATAATTTGTTAGGGAGGTAAAATCAAAGACCAAGGAGTTGTGAAAAATAATGAAAAATAATGAAAAATAATGAAAAATAATGAAAAATAATGCAAGTTTGAATATAGTGCCTTTAATATAAAACAAGTTTTGAACAATTATATTAATTAATGTTTAAAAAGTAGTGAGTTAAACTTTTCTTTATACTATTGTGTATTTTATTATGCAGAGATATATATTTTTTTTATTGGTTATGCTCTAAAAAGTAATAATTAACTATTAACATAACAGCAATCGAAGATTAGTTTTTGGGGCGCAGATATAGAATTGCAGAGACTCATAGACGTTTTGCAAAGCTCAGAGATGGTTTTGTGGGGCTTGGAGGTCATTCTGCTAATTATAAGGCTTTAATTGTGGCTCTGCATTCCCTCTCTTGACAGAGTTTAATAAATCCTACAATTATAATTTTAAACTGTTTGGCAATCAGCATCTATCCTTCTGAATATCTGGTTGTAAATCTATCTGTTTGCCAATCAGCATCTTTCCTTCTGAATATCTGGTTGTAAACCTATCTGTTTGGCAATCAGAATCTTTCCTTCTGAATATCTGGTTGTAAATCTATCTGTTTGGCAATCAGCATCTTTCCTTCTGAATATCTGGTTGTAAATCTATCTGTTTGGCAATCAGCATCTTTCCTTCTGAATATCTGGTTGTAAACCTATCTGTTTGCCAATCAGCATCTTTCCTTCTGAATATCTGGTTGTAAATCTATCTGTTTGGCAATCAGCATCTTTCCTTCTGAATATCTGGTTTTAAATCTATCTGTTTGGCAATCAGCATCTTTCCTTCTGAATATCTGGTTGTAAATCTATCTGTTTGGCAATCAGCATCTTTCCTTCTGAATATCTGGTTGTAAATCTATCTGTTTGGCAATCAGCATCTTTCCTTCTGAATATCTGGTTGTAAATCTATCTATGACAATAACAAACGACAAATATAAGTTTTTTAGCTTCATCTTGACAAAACATGATGAAATATATATTTTACAATACACACCCTTTTCATCAAAAGAAGAAATTTAATTAAATGTTTGCAAATTCAAGCCAAAACTTTTCAAAGTTTCAAATATTTTCTTGTCTTAGTTTCATGCACATGCTAAGGATAATCTTGAAGGGAGTGTTGCACATGTTGAGGATAATCTTTAAAGGAGTTTTTCACATACTGTGCAATAATCTTAAAGGAAGTGTTGAACATGTTAAGGATAATCTTAAAGGAAGTGTTGAACATGTTTAGGATAATCTTAAAGGAAGTGTTGCACATGCTAAGGATAATCTTAAAGGGAGTGTTGCACATGCTAAGGATAATATTAAAGGACGTGTTAACCATGTTAAGGATAATCTTAAGGGGAGTGTTGCACATGTTAAGGATAATCTTGAAGGAAGTGTTGCACTTATTGAGGATAATCTTAAAGGGAGTTTTGCACATGTTGAGGATAATCTTAAAGGGAGTTTTGCATATGTTGAGGATAATCTTAAAGGGAGTTTTGCATATGTTGAGGATAATCTTTAAGGAAGTGTTGCACATATTAAGGGTAATCTTTACAGGCGTGTTGCACATGTTAAGGATAATCTTTAAGGGTGTGTTAGGTCGGTGGAGGGCCCATTTATAAATTCTCAAAAATTTCGAACTGAAAGAAACAAATGAATAAAGGAATTGATTCATTGCCACAAACTCTGATTTTCTTATCCCTAATTATGTGCAACACAATATCGTAGAGTATAGATAATTAAAATGATGTATTCTGTTAGATCAAAAAGGATCTTCATAAATCTAATTGAATATACACAATTGGAAAAGAATACCCATACACCTTTAATTTTCGCGTACATTTACTTTAAAATGAGTGTAAAATATGAGGGTATTATGAGCCGGAAGATGAAATTAGGATAAACCAAATTGAATTCCTTTTATGGAGGGTAAAGAGTTCCTCACATCTGCAGTTTAAATATACCATATAGCAGGAGAAATGGTTCACAATATACTCTTTTTTTGGAAAAAGATTTAAACCTTCGCCTTATTCTGACGAGGAGGCAGTAGGCCATAAACCACAACATTTTTCCCTTCCAAGGATCATATTAGCTTTTATGTCTTCCGGTAGCCATAAGCCACAACCGTTCAGTCTTCCATCATTTAAAAACGTAAGAAATTCCAGAAGACTCAAATGTTGTGGCATGGAAGACTGAACGGTTGTAGCATATGGCTACCGGAGGACAAAAAGCTAATACGTGTAATGGAAGGGGAAAATGTTATGGCTTATGGCCGCCTGCCTTCGCCCGCTCTTCTGACCCATGTTATGTAAGTTAGGGTTTAATTTTACAGGTGCAGTTTTGAAAATTCACAATTAATTACTTTACTTTAGCTATTATTTAAATAATGCTGAGTGTAAATAAAACGCAGACAATCTTTAACAAAGTAAGCGAAACGTCCAATTTCGAAATTAATACCGTTTGTAATTAAATAGCAAATAAAATTAACAAAGTAAGGTAAACGCAAAATAATTCTGTGTGTACTCAAATCGCTGAAAAACTTCAACGAAGTAAGCAAAACGCCAAATTACGTGAATAATTCTGTTTGTAAATAAATCGTAGAAAAGAAGTTAACGAAGAAAGCGAAAGGTCCAAAACTTTAATAAATAAATTTTACAAAATATATGATTTGATTTGATTTGAATGATTTCAGCATCCTTGCTGTAAACTGCCTCTTCCCCCTAAAGATGAAACAGAAACTACCACCCAAAAGGTAAACTTGTGTAAAATAAAAATAAATTAAGAAAATGTTATTAAGGGAACTAAGAACTTGCCACAAAGTCATATTTTCTAATATTTATGTCTTTACAACAGAATTTCATAGACATTTTACATTTTAAAATGTAAATTCAGTTATATCAAAAATATGAAACGTTGTTATAAAACTATTCAATTTTTAATATAACTTTGTAAAGATATAGAGATTAGACATGTTTTGTTTGTGGCAAAAACTTCCTTAGAATGAGACCAGTTATACGACCTAGCTAGACCTTTTCAAACGTCATATATTTGGTATTTTTTGCTTAAAATGTTAAGTAAATGCTGATAAATGCCACGGAAAATGTTAAATCAATGGTTGCAGCTTTGAGTGAATAATTTTCGATTTTTCACTATTGATGATGATGCATTTTTTGATGATTAAGAAAATTGAGTCTTTGCCACAAACTCCGATTTCCAATCCCTATATCTTTACAACCCAGTGTCGAAGACTTTAGACATTTCAAGCTATAAATTTACACCATCAGTATATGTTTTTTTGATTAGGTTGCACCAATAAAAGCCAGTAGACCTGTTAGAATAAACCCGGTTGTAGCTCAGGAGCCCGCACAATCAAAGGTTAGAATAGAATAGAATAGAATAGAATAGAATAGAATAGAATAGAATAGAATAGAATAGAATAGAATAGAATAGAATAGAATAGAATAGAATAGAATAGAATAGAATAGAATAGAATAGAATAGAATAGAATAGAATAGAATAGAATAGAATAGAATAGAATAGAATAGAATAGAATAGAATAGAATAGAATAGAATAGAATAGAATAGAATAGAATAGAATAGAATAGAATAGAATAGAATAGAATAGAATAGAATAGAATAGAATAGAATAGAATAGAATAGAATAGAATAGAATAGAATAGAATAGAATAGAATAGAATAGAATAGAATAGAATAGAATAGAATAGAATAGAATAGAATAGAATAGAATAGAATAGAATAGAATAGAATAGAATAGAATAGAATAGAATAGAATAGAATAGAATAGAATAAAAGTTCTAAATTGAAATGTTGTGAACCAGGCATGCTACACTATAAAATGAGAGCTAATTACATATACAGTCCCTTTAATATATTAAATATATTCTAATTACGTATACAGTCCCTTTAATATATTAAATATATTCTAATTACATATACAGTCCCTTTAATATATTAAATATATTCTAATTACGAATACAGTCCCTTTAATATATTAAATATATTCTAATTACGTATACAGTCCCTTTAATATATCAAATATATTCTAATTACGTATGCAGTCCCTTTAATATATTAAATATATTCTAATTACGTATACAGTCCCTTTAATATATTAAATATATTCTAATTACATATGCAGTCCCTTTAACATATTAAATATATTCTAATTACATATACAGCCCCCTTAATATATTAAATATATCTACGTATACAGTCCCTTTAACATATTAAATATATTTAGAAAGATTCTCCAGTAAGTTCTAAACCCCGACCTTCCTTCCTACGTCCTGGTCGTCCTGGCGGTCTTTTCAAGTAAGAACTTTATGCTCAGCTACATTTTGCCTAGATAACGTCTTGCCTAGATAACATGTTGGCTAGCGTAGCATAATTGAGCGCTTTTTTTGCCTGGTCAATATTTTTTTCACAACGAAAGTTTTCAAAATTTGTAAGTAAAAACTCCGCAACTTTTTGAAAATGGTATGGAGTTTGGAGTGCTAGACTAGATACAATTCAAATGTCCAGAACATTTAATTCATTTTAATTTTATTGTTCAGCTCTAAAAAAAACGTTTAAATCAGAGATATAATTAGAAAACTCATATCCTGCTGTTTTGGCAGTTTACCTGAATGATAAATTTTTACAAAAAAATCTTCATATTTCATGTTTATCAAATTAATCAATTCACAAATGAATTACAGTTTAACCCAGTTTTTAATTAAATAATTTTATAGAGCTCTTTGAAACTGTTCCCGCATATTTCATGGTTATTTATTCATTTTTACAATAACTGAGAATTAGGTATAATAGTCTAAAATTCATTGAAAAATTGTCAAGACCACTTATTATAAATTCTTTAGAACTCAAAAACTTTTTTCAGGATTAAGTTATGGATTTTTTAGAACATTAAAATTTGATCCACAGATTCAAAGTTAAATAATAAGGAATGGTTTGAATCGGTGATTAAAATTTAAACCGACGAAAGTTAGTTTAAATTCATTAAATTCGGTCCTTGAATCACAACCTTTTATGAAATAAATGTGAACAATTCCTTTCCAGTAGGAGACCCCCCCTAGCGGTACTATCAAACAACTCGATTGAAGAAGATGTAACTCAAGAAAATACAGAGATAGAAGGAGATGAGACAGAAGGAATGTCTCCTTCTGTCTCATCAGCGAAGGAGGAGAAGGAGGAGAAGGAGGAAGAACCAAAAGAAAAAATAAAGTAAGTTCTGTGCCATAAGAAGGAGGTCAAATTTGTGTGACGTTACTGCAGGTACAACTTTTTAACCTCGTAGCTCGTCGAGTTTTCATTAAAAAAAATTAATTTATCTAGTTACAAATTAGAAATTCAAAATATTTTTGTGCTTCTCAATAGCTCTTTAAAAAAATGAGATATAATTTAACACATTTCAGATTGTAATTTACTTAAATTTGGGGTGTGGTAATATAGGAAATATTTTCTCATTTTTACATATTTTTTCAACTAAATAATATTCATTGTTTTAATTGAATAAGTTTGATTGTTATCTCTCTTTTTATTTTATGTATTATGTACTATATGTACTGTACTAGGCCGACGAGACCGAATTTTCTGCGACGACCCAGCGTTGTTGGACAGAAACCAGTTGTTAAGCCAACAACAACAGCAAAACCGATTCAAACTTCACTATTTAGGAACAAATAAGTTTTTACCTTATTAGGCCTCTTCCTACAGTGATAAACAGAAAAAATTGGAACAGTATACCAATACTTAGGTGTATTTGATGTTGTTACAAAACAAAGAGTTTTATCAAACACTGATTAAATTACTAATTTTGTGAAATAGGTCTGTTTACACTGCACAATTGTTAATATATGTGTATCATAATCACTGGACTTTTAAAAGTTATAACTTGACTCTAAAAGTCGTCTTCCTATTTCAGGTTTCTTTGGTTATTACTGCATGTTGTTAGTTGATTTGAAAAAAATTCTTTTTCTTGAAAGAGAAGAAAAATTTACCTTTTAAAAAAAAATTATTGTATCAAGATGTATGAGGGTATGAGGTAAAAAGTAGAATTATTTGTTGGACCCAAATAGATTCTAGTACAATACAGAGCGTCCCATATCATATTAGATTATCTTCAATCTTTAACACCAAAATAAACCCTTAATACTCGAAAAACTTTTCATTTTCCACAAGAAAATTCTTGTATAAGACTTATGTTATTTTTCAAAATGATTCATTCTAATGAAATTTTCTAATTAGTCCCGAAAATCGTAATTTAGACCCGTTCTCGGTCTAATATGATGTGGGACACCCTGTAGATGAAAACTTAAAATGTGTACACTCTCAGTACAGCTGTATTTTGATGTGTAAATTTAGTTTTTGTGTCCGACAAAAATATTACTAATAGTGATAATTTTTTAATAAAGTGCTTGTCTGACAGTGAAATAATTGTAATTTTATTTGTTCTTTAGTTTCTGTCTTTACACTTTTTATTAAATCTTGGAAAACATGTCAACTAATGTGAGAAAATTTCGTTTTATTTGTTATATCTTACACATGTGACGTCGTGTATGATTAGTCCATTTCTCTGTTGCCACTTATTGTATTCGATAATCAATTTGGTTGGACCATACAGTCAGGCCATCCGTAATTAAGACTTAGAGTCAAATTGAACATGTAGCATCATTCATTAAAAAAAGAAACTTATTATTAATCAACATATGAAGAATCGAGCTATTAATGTGAATTTGTCTCTGGTACTCCAACAAAATTTTGTTAGATGAAAATTTAACATTTCCTAGAGTGAACCAGTACTTTTTAACTTTGAACTTTTTGTGTCTGTTGAGAAACCCCAATTATAACGGCTCAGCGACATTTTGCCTAGTCACAATTTGCCTAGTCACAACTTGCCTAGTTCACTTTTGCCTAGGTAACATTTTGCCTAGGTAACTTTTTAACGAATATAAATAAAGTTTCAATTTTCACGAACACTGAATGTTTCCTATGCATGATTTTAAAAACCTATAATTGTGTGTAGAAGACCAAGCAGACCAATCTTTAATCCGTCCCGACCATCTGGACTCAACGCTCTCAGGTATTTTCATGTACCGTACAGTTCAATGTACACTAGGGTTGGTCGATTTTGGAACCAAGCTTGAGAGGCAGTTGGCAAAGTTGGTCAGAACTATTTTAAACCCTCTGGTAGTTTTAAATTTTTTTTCGCGCGTGTACAATTTTCAAGCGGCCATTTTCGCAAAAAAAAAGTCACCAGTGAGACCGAAAAAAAAAAAAATCAAAATATATCGAGATGGGTATCAAAAGATGTGTCTCAAGCCGCTGAATACTGTCCTCATTTAAATTTTTTAGATATATTAAATTGTTTGATTTAATACAAAAAAAAATTATTTTCAATACAAAAACCAGTTTTATGTCTTTGATTGGTTTCATAATTAACGCAAACCCATTTGAAATGAGCTTTTCTGAAAATTATACGCGCGCGAGAAAAAATCTGAACCTGCCAGAGGGTTTAAAATACTTCTGACCAACTTTTCCAACTGCTCCCCTAAGTCGCAAATGAAAAAGTAGGTAAATCGACCAACCCTAATGTACACAATGCAATATACTAGAAGGCATTAAGAAGAAAAGGACAAAATTAGTCAGAGACAGTTTTTTTGTTTTAGTATTTTAGTTTTTGTTATAAATTTATATTTTTATTAAACAAAAAAAGTTTTAACAAATGATGATTAAAAGATTATTTTTTTACAGGGAGCGTTCTTGCCAAATTATCAAATACGATTGCAGTAAGACTCCGACCCACACTTGCTGTCCTAAGGTATTTCATAATAAAACTGTAAATAATTTCGAATAAATAAAAATGATAAAATTTGAATTTTTTAATAACTTTCAAGGATTGCGGCAATTTTTTTATTTTTTATTATTGTTTAGATTGAAGGAGAAACTAAAGAGAAAGAAGATGAAACTGTGGAAACCAGGGAAATAGTTTTTAAAACAAACCATGAACAACATCATCTTTTATCGCCACTTGCTATACATGTATTTTTCTTAACTACACCCGCTTCACTGGAAAGTTGAAAATTTTCTTTTTTGTTTTCTTGTATTTCTGGGCTTTAGTTGTTGTTTCAAGAATAGATGGCAAATTATATTCATATAAATTGAAAAAGATAAAAAAATGGGAAAAACAGAAAAACCTGTGCAAAGCGCAAAACAGTTAAAAACATTACAATAAAGATTTTAACTTTTCTTGGAGATTTTTTACGTTAGAAGACTATGATAAAAATGAGTTTCTATAGTACAATGGTGGATGTTGATGGGGAATCAGCTGTTACTGAGGAGTCCAATGTTGCTGATGAGTCAGCTGTTGCTGATGAGTCAGCTGTTGCTAATGAGTCAGCTGTTGCTAATGAGTCAGCTGTTGCTGATGAGTCAGCTGACCAACAAGAGGGTAATTAAGCTATGTTAAACAGGACCTACTCCTAAAAATGAAAAATGTTTATCACAGAAAATTTTTGGAGTAACGAGGCAAATTCACCTTGGTGGTATTAGTTTTTAAATTTCGTTTATTGTTATTTTTATGTTCATTGAACTTTTTAAGATTATAGCTGGACTGGAATCTAACAACTGCCTTCATTTATTTAAAAACAATTCAAAAAAGTGTGTTTCTCTTGAACTATGACAAAAAGTTAAAATCATCACAAAACATAAAAATTGACAACATATACGTATTTAAAAATTATTTTATAATTACAATTATTAACATTAATTTTACAGGTCTGGAAAATCAACAAGTTGAACCAATTGTATCAAAGGTAGTTGTATCTTTAAATTCTTCTCTTTTTGGTGATTTTTATTAAATTTTATGGAAAATAACAGAAAAGAGTTAAAATCGACATTTTTCTTTGTGTCTAGGTCTCATCTGTTTCGTCGACAGAGACTAGAATAGTTCAGGCTACTGGCTCCAGGAGAAGAAATCCTCCAAAGGTAAAAAAGCTTTTTTTGAACGTTACATTTAAACAAATTAGAAATATATTTTTTGGCGATGCCAGTTAAAGCAAGTGCAATGTGCTTCTACGTGTGTTTGATTTATCTTTAAAAAATGATTTTAATTGTTTCAGCCGCAGGAAATTTCGGCTAACGAAGACGACATTGTATCTCAAGAAACTCCATTCAAACAGCAGGAAGCCCTTGCAACAGATCAAGAGGAAGCAATTGTTAATAATCAGGAGCCATACTTTGGAGCTGATCAAGTGGTGACCATTGAAGCAAATCAGGAAGCGGCCATTGTTCAAGGCCAAGTAGTGTCTATTTTAGAAAACCAAGAGGCGGCCATTTTGGATAATCATGAAACGGCTAAAGGTACAGAGTTGGGGGATTTAGTGCCTGAACTCGGTATGCCGCTTGAACACAATTTTCACCAAAGTTTACAGAATTTTGAAACTGAACATGATTATTCGACACTAGAAGATACTGACCAAAAAACTCCAACGGATAATGAGGGTAATTCGATTTTTTACGAAAACTTGATTTTAGAGAGTTAGTAAAACGATTAAAAACAGTCATTGGTGCATACATCAATACAATAAAGACGACTTTCGATGGCAATTTTTATTTATCTCAAGCTTTTAAAATGCATGGAAACACATAAACATGAAAACAAAGAGAAGCTGTCAGTAAAAAAGCTTCTCTTTACCTACTTGTAAACTTATAATTCGAAAAAACTTATAAAAATTAAAACTTCAATAAAAAGTCGTATTCAATGTACTGATATAATCGCCGACTACTGTACTTAAAACAGCATGGATTCCCTGATGAAGGTTAAAGAAAATATATAAATTTGTTATAAGTAATCTAAATTGTATTTTTAATACTTGATTTAACATTTAATATGAGCTTCTAATTAAACATGAGAGAACTCAAATATTTAACAAGTTTCTTGTTAAAGGTGAACTTGAAGATTTAAAAACTGATGAAGAACCTGAAATTAAAGACCCTGGATATGAGAATGCCCCTGGGCCTCTGAGCACCTCTAACACTCCTGATTTCACTGTCCAGATCGTCCCTTCCGCCCCTGATTCAGTAGCCCCTGGAATTCCTCCCAACAATTCTGGCAATCCTGGCAATCCTGGCAATTCTGGCAATCCTGGCAATACTGGCACTCCTGAAGGTGCTGAATATGAATATTACGAGCTAACAGGAGGTAAAAATAATTTTAAAACTTTTTTTTAAATTATGATTTTTAAATTTAGTAGAATGTAGTTTTACTAACAAATATTTGTAAAATAAATGACATTTAATGCAACTAATTTGGTCGACCTATTTTGCTGCAAAACATTCGTCACAATTAGACCATGGATGCCTTGCAGACAAAATGAGTCGAGATAATCAAAAGTAAAGTAGAAGCTTTTGAAAATTTTGTCAAGTTGATATGGATAATTTTTTAACTTAATTTTTTTTTGAAAAAACGTATATTTTTTAATGATATCAAGGTTGTTTGGTGATTTTTGTCTCGCGGGAGAGTAAAGTAATATAACATTCCGCATTCCTAAATATTTATGGAATTGTTCTGATGAATTTGTATTTTACATTCTTAAAGGGACTGTACGCGTAATTGTAAGTGACCCACCATTGTAAAGATGACAATGCCCGATTAACAACAATACCCTTGAAACCTAATCCGATCAAAATGTAAAACCTGCAGTCGGTTATATCTGTAAAATTCTCCATTGTTTCCTGTAAGCGAGAACTGCGCAATTCACTTTAGCAGAGAACCCACAAATGAAAATAAAACAGTTAAAAGAAACAAAAACATTGAAATCTAATTCATGCTTGATAAGACAAAGCTTTCAAGGGTACCATTGTAAATCGGGCATTGCCATCTTTTCATGGAGGGTCACATAAAATTACGCTCACAGTCCCTTTAGACGTCTTTTGCTATTTTTAGATGGAGAATATTATTATGTTTATGATACAGACGAACCAAGGAAATTAATTTAATAACAAATTGTATGATTCTTTCAGATATATTAGATTTAACTTTTCTTTCCCGTAAAAAAAGATTTAAAAAGGCGATTGTTTAGAGTTTATAATTGAACTATAATTAAAGTTTTTAATTATGCTTTTGCCTGAAAGCATATTTTCTTTAAAAAATAATATGCGATAAAACATTTCGTAAATTTAGATTTTTTTTTATGAATTTTCGAAATTCCAATAAAAAATGTTTGAGAGAAAATATTTCAACCCTGCTGTCTGGCTTTGAGAGGTTCCTCAAAATATTGGATGCAATACTAGGCATACTGCATACATAATACCATGGATATATAATACATATGCATATATTAAGATTTACAAAATTTTGAGAAGCTTTTTTCTTGTGACCCCCTTTCTTAAAAAATCATTCATTGTTGCATGTTGTAAATTATCAGAAAATAAAACAAAGATATCCTTATCATCGTTTTTTTGTATAAAAAAGTCTATGGGTACAAAGAATTATTTTTTTTAAAGTGTCGCTTAAAATTAACGTAAACAATTCCTTTAAACATGAAAGGATAAAAAATTAAATAAATCTGAAAAGTAGTGTGGAGCCAAGTGCAGTCAGTAATCCTCAACCAGGTGAAATAAATAATTAATTAAGAATTTTGTAACATTGCATATTAGCCTTTTAGAGGTGGNAGGTTAAATAAAGTGAAAAGTAGAACACAGAAAAGAAGAATTTTTGGAAAAAATAATTGTCTGCAAAAAATATTTCGAAGCAAATTTTTTTCATTTTCATTGGTCATAAAACTCTCCCTTCGTAGGGTCTCATTTATCAGTGGGTTTTCAGCGAACAAAAAATTGCGCGAAAATTTTCTTTCGTAAGGAAGCAAAAACGATGAAGAATTTCGTAAGAAAAAGTGGGGCAATTTTTTTTTGGCTTTTTTCGCTTTAATCTGTTTCGCAGAAATATTTCAGGAAAAAAGCGAAAATTTTCGCGAAAAATACGAAATTTCCCTTTTTTCGTTGGAAACACTTTTTATGAGTAACCCCAAAAAAATTATAAAGACAAACCAATTTTGTGAATCTAGCTGACATAACTCTCTTTGAAATTCGTAGACGGCCCCTTTAATATCTTATGTTTATTTATTTATTTAGAAGGAGCAGTGAGACTTGATGCAAACCAAATATCTCCGAGAATATCAGCTGAATGCTTCAGGTAAAAATCAAAAGACGACATTTTAATATTGTTCTTAATTGAACCATTATACTTGCTAATCTTTGGAATCTGGATAAAATATGATTTAAACTTGATTTCAAAATAGAGATTTGATAAATTTATTATGTTTTTTTCTTCAATATTTATTAAATATTAAATTTTTCAGTCTACTTTTAGATTTGATTTTGTTTATGTTTATATAGGTTATTTTGATCCATTTTTAGATTTTATTTTTCACTATTTTTATAATTGATTTTGATCTATTTTCAAATATTATTTTGATCTATTTTTTATTTGATCAAATTTTTTATTTGATTTTGATCTATTTTCATTTTTTATTTTGACTTTTTTCAGATTTTTTTTACCCATTTTTGTTTTTGAATGTTTTTTTGTTTGATTTTGATCCATTTTTATGATCAACTTTGTTCTATTTTAGATATGATTTTGATTCATTTTTTAATTTGATTTTGATCCTTTTTAGAATTTATTTTGATCATTTTTTTATTTGATAATATTTTTTATTTGATTTTTATCTATTTTTATTTTGACTTTTTTCAGATTTTATTTTGACTAATTTTTTTATTTGATTTTGATTCATTTTTAGATTCGATTTTGATCTATGTTAGATTTGATTTTGATTCATTTTTAAATTTGATTTTAATCATTTTTCAGATTTGTTTTTAATCCATTTTTTATCTATATTTTTGTATTTTATTTGATCTATTTGAGTTTTATGCGTTCAATCCGTATTTTATTTTATTTTGATTTTTTTTCAGATTTGATTTTGACTAATTTTTTTATTTGATTTTGATTGTTTTTTATTTGATCTTGATTCATTTTTAGATTTGATCTATTTTTTTGTATTTTATTTTGATCTATTTGAGTTTTATGCGTTCAATCCGTATTTTAATTGATTTTGATTTTTTTCAGATTTGATTGTTCTACATCTCCAGCTCATTCATGTTGTGGTAGGAAGAAGTAAGGAAACAGACAAACAATAAACTTTAAAGGGATTGTTGACGTTATTTCAAGTCAGTCTAGATTTAAAGCGTCACATGTCCAATTCACAGCGGTACCATTTAGTGCTTTATTGGGTTCACAATGTGGAAGATATCGTCGTTTTTTTGTCCTAGTAAGATTTATTTACATTTCTTTACTGCTTAAAGTTACTTATACATAAAACCGCAATAACAAATAAAATCACAAAAATAACTTTATATTTTTACGCAGAACAAGATTAGTTCAAAGGGTACCATTGTGAATTGTAGAAGTGGAGGATTACTTGAATATAAGGTCGACATACCCTTTCAGGAGAAACTTACAAAATTACAAACAATGAACATAAAAGAGAAATTATAAAATTACAAACAATGAACATAAAAGAGAAACTATAAACAATGAAAATAAAATAGAAACTATAAAATTACATACAAGGAACATAAAAGAGAAACTATAAAATTACAAACAATGAACATAAAAGAGAAATTATAAAATTACAAACAATGAACATAAAAAAGAAACTATAAAATTACAAACAATGAACATAAAAGAAAAACTATAAACAATGAACATAAAATAGAAACTATAAAATTACAAACAAGGAACATAAAAGAGAAACTTTAAAATTACAAACAATGGACATAAAAGAGAAATTATAAAATTACAAACAATGAACATAAAAGAGAAACTATAAAATTACAAACAATGAACATAAAAGAGAAACGGATAAAATTACAAACAATGAACATAAAAGAAAAACTATAAACAATGAACATAAAATAGAAATTATAAAATTTCAAACAATGAACATAAAAGAGAAATTATAAAATCATAAACAATGAACATAGAAGAAAAATTATAAAATTACAAACAATGAACATAAAAAGAAATTATAAAATTTCAAACAATGAACATAAAAGAGAAATTATAAAATCATAAACAATGAACATAAAAGAGAAATTATAAAATTACAAACAATGAACATAAAAGAGAAATTATAAACAATGAACATAAAATAGAAACTATAAAATTACAAACAAGGAACATATAAGAGAAACTATAAAATTACAAACAATGAACATAAAAGAGAAATTATAAAATTACAAGCAATGAACATAAAAGAGAAATTATAAAATTACAAGCAATGAACATAAAAAAGAGAAACTATAAAATCACGAGCAATACACTATATTATACTGTATAACAATTAAAAAAGAAAGTAGTTAAATAAATGTGTTTGTTTAGAAAAAGACAAATCCAGATAGCTGAATTTAATCAGCCGCTTCATTCTACTATTCTAAATTCAGGAAAAACAACAAAAAACATTTTACTTTTTCGTATTAAACTCCATGAAAGTAGGGGTCCTATCCCCCATGGGTTCCCAAGAAGGTAGTGGGGNATTGCAGTTGTGTATACTCTGCGTACATATTGAAACCAGTTCTCTCTGGCCGGACTTTTTAAACAAGAATAGATGCATCAGTGCTCGTTTAGTATCCGAGGAGGTTAAAAGCATGGAGTTTTGATAACTTTGATAATTCACATAATAGTTTCCTTGACCAGAATATTTCATTGATTATTTTTGTGAAAACGGATTCCATGTCAGGCGGTGACATCCGTCTTGTGTTTACTTTTCCGCCCAAAGACAGTACACTGCAGTACATAAAATGCGTACACCTCTGAAATAACATTCCTTGCATTAGTACCTTGGGTGGAATGACCTTGTGACCTTGTATGTCGTCAAGTTTTGATCTTACGTACAATTAAGGAGAAAATGAAATTTATTTGGCTACACAGTGCACAATACACATACATAAATAAACACTCTTTTCTTCTCAATATCTCTTTAAAAAGAGGCGTGGTCAATAAAATATGAAAAATCTGGAAGATTTCAATGACATTTTTTCAGAGGAATAGAAATAAACCTTAATTTCCAGATTATCAGATTGACTATTTGAGAGCCTAACTGTAGTGTTTTCACCATTTGAGAGCCTAACTGTAGTGTTTTCACAAAAAGGCAAGACAGTCAAAAATCTGTATAACAAAATTTTTGTTCAGATAAGATGTTGTCATAAATTTTTTAGGTACCACTGTATTTTTTACATAAAACCTCAGTTCAAAAAAAATTGTTTTTTTTATTAATAGATTTACCCGGTCATGTGACCTATTCAGTGTCTAGAGTGGAGAAATCTGTGAACTGGGCAAAAAGATGAAAATTATTTGTTTAACTTCATTTATTCCAAGAAGTAATAGAATTAAGAACGGGAAGATAGGTTTTGTTTTCATTCTCTGTGACGTCCTTGGATAGTTTTAGAACTAGTTTTATTGAAAACAAACAACATTTCGCAATTTACCAGCCTGGAATTGTCCAGGACCTCTTGTCCTACCCAGGAATTGTCCAGGCTCTCTTGTCCTGTCCCAGGAATTGTCCAGGCCCTGTCCTAGGAATTCCAAGCTTTTAATTTTCTTTGTTTTTGTTAACTTAATAAACCAGTGTCTGAGATATCTTAATTCAGAAATATGTAAACAATTCCCATCCTCCCTCTCTCCCCTATTCTATTAGTTCTTCATTTATTCTTTGTTATTGTTACTTATTGTTCAATATTACACATCCTAATAAAAAAATTAAAAAATAGATAAATTTTCGAAAAACAGACTCTTAGGAAGTCCTTATTCGAGCTTTCAGAAAAAAATTGTCACGAAATTATTTTAAAAACCACTGAAATTTGTCCCAAAATAAAACAAGTTTAATTTTTATTTAATAAACGTTAAGGCTCCAATTTAAAGTTATTTCAATTACTATTTTTGAATTCAGTTCATGAGTTCATGTTTGTTTTAATAAACCTAATATTATGCAAAAATTAAGAATGTTTTAATTTTCATAATTCATTTTTTGCCGCTTGTGTTTTAGATTTTTTAAATATATATCATTAATAAAACTTTGTGTGTTACTCTGCAGAAATCTTGTTTAATTCAGGTTTTGTTTGAACTTTTTAAAAAAATGTTGTTTTTTGTTTTGTTTTTTTACAACAAATTCTGGAAAACTATACTTTTCTAGCTTTGTCTAATGTGTCTTAAATGGATACTTAAAAGTTTTTTTTAGCTACGTATAAAAGTTATTGGCTATACACACTCCATTTATTTCAATGAACTTGTGCAATAATTGTATTGTAAACATGGCAATGTTTACTGGAACCCCCGGTATTTTGTATATTTCATACTTGGCAATGTTTACTGGAAGCCCCTTTATGTTGTACCTATGGTAATATTTACTGAAACCCCCTGTGTATTGTATATTTTATCCATGGCAATGTTAACTGGAACCCCCTGTATATTGTATCCATGGTAATGTTTACTGGAACCCCCTATATATTGTATCGAAGGCAAGGTTAACTGGAACCCCCTGTATATTGTATCTATGGTAATGTTTACTGGAACCCCCTGTATATTGTATCCATGGCAATGTTTACTGGAACCCCCTGTATATTGTATCTATGGTAATGTTTACTGGAACCCCCTGTATATTGTATCCAGGACAATGTTTACTGGAACCCCCTGTATATTGTATCTATGGTAATGTTTACTGGAACCCCCTGTATATTGTATCCATGGCAATGTTTACTGGAACCCCCTGTATATTGTATCTATGGTAATGTTTACTGGAACCCCCTGTATATTGTATCCATGGCAATGTTTACTGGAACCCCCTGTATATTGTATCTATGGTAATGTTTACTGGAACCCCCTGTATATTGTATCCAGGACAATGTTTACTGGAACCCCCTGTATATTGTATCCATGGCAATGTTTACTGGAACCCCCTGTATATTGTATACATGGCAATGTTTACTGGAACCCCCTGTATATTGTATCCAGGACAATGTTTACTGGAACCCCCTGTATATTGTATCCATGGCAATGTTTACTGGAACCCCCTGTATATTGCATATATGGCAATGTTTACTGGAACCCCCTGTATATTGTATCCAGGACAATGTTTACTGGAACCCCCTGTATATTGTATCCATGGCAATGTTTACTAGAACCCCCTGTATATTGTATCCATGATAATGTTTACTGGAACCCCCTGTATATTGTATCCATGGCAATGTTTACTGGAACCCCCTGTATATTGTATACATGGTAATGTTTACTGGAACCCCCTGTATATTGTATACAAGGCAATGTTTACTGGAACCCCCTGTATATTGTATCCATGGCAATGTTTACTGGAACCCCTGTATATTGTATCAATGGCAATGTTTACTGGAACCCCCTGTATATTGCATATATGGCAATGTTTACTGGAACCCCCTGTATATTGTATCCAGGACAATGTTTACTGGAACCCCCTGTATATCTAATATCTATCTATAAATCATTTTGTAGGTTATGCACACAGCATACACCCTATCGTAGAACGAAACTCCCGAGTTTCCTTTTTGGGGTCTATGCTTAGTGTAGATTTTTATTTAAGAAATCAGAAAACAAAACAAGAATGTAAAGAAACCACATAGATTATTATTTCTAAACAAAAATATTAGTATCTACAATACTAACTGACCCATTCATAAAACTGGGTTTCCGATACTGGGTTTCATTCCGATACCCTGACTTAAGTTTCGGGCTCAGTAGTAAATGAGGCGTAGAAAATATTTAGAAAAATCAGGGATGCATAGCGGCAGATACGGGATACCATGATAATATTGGTTACCAGGCTACCAGCCGACCAGGTGGATAATATTGGTTAACAGGCTCCCAGCCAACCAGGTGGACAGTATTGGTCACCAGGTTACCAGCTGACCAGGTGGACAATATTGGTTACCAGGTTACCAGCCAACTAGGTGGACAGTATTCGTTACCAGGTTACCAGCCGACCAGGTGGACAATATTGGCTACCAGGCTACCAGCCGACCAGGTGGACAATATTGGTTAACAGGCTATCAGCCGACCAGGTGGATAATATTGGTTACCAGGCTACCAGCCGACCAGGTGGACAATATTGGTTACCAGGCTACCAGCCGACCAGGTGGACAATATTGGTTACCAGGCTACCAGCCGACCAGGTGGACAATATTGGTTACCTTACCAGGCTACCAGCCAACCAGGTGGACAATATTGGTTACCAGGCTACAAGCTGATCAGGTGGACAATATTGGTTACCTTACCAGGCTACCAGCCAACCAGGTGGACAATATTGGTTACCAGGCTAC